TTGATCTCGCGATGAACCCGACGGGATCCTCAATGTCCACAACTCCAACAACACCTGCGGCATCCGCCATGCCATCCACCACAGCCGCTGCAACGCTAGACACCACTGGGTGCGCCGCAGACGCTCTTGGTCGCTCCAACACATTGCAGCAGCAGTACTACACCACGCGTTACGAGTCTTCAAATATTCCGTTCTTCTCATTGTTGTCACGACTCTCGTCATTGGTGATGAATCGCATGAATCACGGCAGTTCAGGCGGGTTGTCTGGAACAGGAACCCCGTACAGTGAGGCGTACCTCCCCGCTCCACTTCGTCAACGCGTGGACCGCGCAGAAGGTCGATACCACGATACGACCTCTGCTTCTGGAGCATCCACCGGCAAAAGGACAGCTGCACCAGGCGGGGTGGGCGAAACGGGTGATACGTTCGGTTCTGGCGAGCATGCCGCAGGGGTGACGTACATTCCACGTATGAGATCCATCGGCGACTATTTCATCGCCACCCTGCCGTTTGCCGCCCCATTACTCACGCCGCTTTTCCGTGCCAGTGCCGATGACAGGCACCTGACCGCGGGCGGTGTGAATGATGGTGTCGGTATTGGTGGGGCTTATGGTGGCGACGGTAACGATAACATCGACACCGTGGGGGAGCTGCTGAGTGGCGGGGGCACTGGACGTTACGAGGGACACTCGCTCCACACCACAGGGTTTGCGTCGCTACGACAGAAGCGCCCTCGTTACATGGATGATGGTGAGGTTGATGGGAGGAGTTTACGTGGCATGGGTGGTGGGTTCACATCGCTTCAGCCGGAAATGTTGACAGCCTCGTTCCCGTCCACCGCAGCCGCCTCCGCTGCCACGAGTAGGCGGCTCATTTCGTTTGTGCCCGCAGCGGCAAGGCAAAACACCCCGCACGGCCTCGGTGGGGAGGCGGGTGTGGGCGCCCCGTCAACATCTTCTGCCAGCACCACCTCCTCGATGTTGCCATTTGCCAACATCCACTCGGCGGCTAGCAATGACGCCGTGCGGGCGTATGTGACAGAACGCGTTCGCCTTCGATCTCTTCCACCTCGAGGCGTTGATGGCGTCCCACCACCACCACCACCAGCACCATTCTCGTCGTCGTCGCTGTCGGCAACAATAACGAAAAGAGCGCAGGGAGCATCACACGAGGCACGACCAGCGCCCAGTTCTGCCTTGCAGGAGCCGGCATCCTCCTTTGAATTGAGCCGTTTGTTCCGCCATGCCCGTTCATTCTACGAGCGTTTCCGGTGATTTCCTAAGGAGTGGACGAATATGATATGATAACGGTGTGGGTGGAATGACTCGAGTTCTCAAGAATACTTTATATATATATATATATATGTCTTGTTGTTTTCCCGCTGCCACTGCCCATGTTTATATATGTGCACATTGCAGTAAGAGGATAAGGGCGGAAGAGACAACAAACACACGAAACGAAGAAGTACGAAAGAAAAAGAAAGAAATAAATAAAGAAAAAAAGAAAGAGAGAGAGAAGGAGACAAGTAAAGAAAAAGAAAAAGAAAAAAGACACAAACACGCACACGTTCGCACAATTGAGTCCAGAGTAACAGAGAATTATCAGACGAATAGACACACGGGAGGATGGAAAGAAAAAGAACAGGAAGTGTATTTGTATAAACATGGAGGCAAAGGGGGAGGCAAAGGGGGTTACATCGTAGATTGTTTTATTTGCATTGCATGTAGTCAATTTATACACATCGGTGTAAATATTGTAACGGTACCTGTTGGGTGCAATGTAAATGTAAATCTATATATATATATATATATGCATGTGATGCTGTCACAGAGGGAGCGGAGGGAAACGTCTTCCCCACTTTGTGTGTGGCACAGGACACATCCTTCCCCATTCCCCTCCCTCCTTTTCCTCACCCCACGACAAACTTCATAAAAATTCCCGACAATAAGAAGCGCAGGAATCATCACCCCCTTCTTTTTATCGTACCCACTGTGGCAGGACCGACTGCTGTGGTTTATTGTGAAGAGACATCTTCTCTTTTTTGTATGTATGTATTTTTCTTGTGTGATGCATTTGTCCAGTTCTTTTCTTTTTCCCCTCCTTCTCTTTCTCTCTCTGTGTGTGTGTGTGTGTGTGGACCCGTAATTCTCGCATGCATCTTTGGGCCATCACACACATGTATATTATATTATATATACATATATTTTATATCCAACGCTTAGAATAATAGTAGTAATCATCATCATCAGGAGAATAACAATAATAATAAAACAAACAAAACAAAAAAGGAAAAAAGGGAAATGCCCAACGTCATTGTAAACTGCACGTTTAACCCACCGCTGTTCTCCATCACTGGCACGCAGTTGCGCCAGGAGACCCTCGACAGCCTTGAAAAGGCCCTCCCACAATGCACAACGACGAGCCAAAACAGCATGGGCGCTGCGAATGGCAACGCACCAAAGTTTATGCTCGTCAACAGTCAGCCGAACACGTGGCGCATGCCGATTGGGCAGCACTATTGCGATCAGCGCGGTCGTTGCGTTGTCTTCTCGACGATTATCAGCACCCTTCAAACGGAGGGGTGGGCGCTGCGCACCACGGACTCCCACGAGTCGGACAACGGGAAGGACATCACACGCCTCTTCTTCTGGCGCTCCGGCTAAGAAGAAGAAGAAGAAGAAGGAAGCGGAGGAGGCGGAAAAAAGGGGCCGGGGGGCACACGCAACCTTCCCTCTTTTCTTCTTTTTATCCTCAGAGAAGAAAAGGGACGGCATGCCTTTTTTCCCTTTTTTATTTTTTATTTTCTTTTTAAAACTTTGCATGCACATTCACACAGGCAGGCAGCGGGGGAAAAGAAAACAAAAAAAGAAGAAATGGACCACTGGAGGGGGAAGACGATGGATGTAAATATATCCATAAACATCAATATATATATATATATATATATGCATCTAAAATGTAATGTGTTTGAGGACAACCCCCTCCCCTCAAAAAAAAAAAAAAAAGAAAAAAAAAAGGAGAAAAGAAAAATAAAACACACTGTCTACGGCGGAGGACACACACACACACACACACATAAATCCATGCAATAGTGGTGGATTTCTGCGTTTATATATATGTATATATGTCTTGTGTATGTATATGTATATGTATATGTATGTATCTGATGGTGTTCTTGTTTGGAGAGGGGTGTGTTGCCTTCACTTTTTCTTTTTCTCCTGTCATTTTCATACACTTCTTTTTTTTATATATTTTTTATATTTATTTTAAATTATTATTCCCGTATTTATTTGTAATGAGGGATGTCATGTCGCGTGGGATGACTGGGGAAGATGACATCATTTTCGACGCGGCGGCAATAGAGGCCAAAAAGAAAAAGAAGGAGCCGCGGAATTATTTGACCGACGGCGCATTAGAGAGGATGGAGAGGGGCGAGTCGGTAGCGAGTAGAGCGGGGGAATGCAATGACGACGAGGAGGCGGAGGAGGAGGAGGGGAACGATGGCCGCAGCGATCCGAGGCGTGTGAAGGAAGGCAACAAGTCGCTTTTCTCACGCATTCGACACCGTCTGCAGCCACACCGCTGCGGTGAGAAGGACCCATCCAACACGTTTATTGCTGAAGTGCGTGGCGTCACGCTCCATGCGTCGGTGCCACGCCTGTTGACAGCCGACACGCTGGCGGGGTTATGCATTCAGGAGGCATCCGTCCCTTTCGCCACGGTCTTTTACAGCTCGGAGGGTTTTGTTGTCAAGTACGCCGTCGTACTGCGGCTCAGCGACGGCAGACGATTGGCTGCAGACCGCCGATACAGCGACCTTCTCTCTTTGCACCATGTCATGAAGAAGATACATTTCAACAGCGCCAGACGCTCATTCGTCGGGCATGTCGCACAATCGACATCTGTCCCGCCGTTCCCGCACTTCCCGGGCCGTGGCATCATGCGGGGGAGTAAATATCCGACCATCACGTTTCTTCTGCAGCGGCGACGTGAACTGGACGAGTACTTCCGCGTGTTGACATGTGAATCGCCTGCGGGTGTGCAAGAGTGCCTCACGTCCTTCGCAGCCCGCGAACTGTTGATACGTTTTTGCATGCCCTCTTCAAGGCGGTGTGGAACGGACGACGGGGCGGCGGAGGAGCCTCATGAGGGGGATGCTGGCGACAGGAGGAAAAAGAAGGGCGACAGTCGCAAGGACAAGGGAGGGATGAAAGGGACGCTGCCGATATCAACACATGCAACTTCTTTCTGCCTTCTTGATGATGGGTTTGACTGGGATGCGCTACTGGGATCCGTGAAGGCTACAGGAACATCATCTTTATTATTATTCCCGTCATCATCATCTTTATCGTTAGAACATCGGCAAGCTGCCACCATGAAGCCTAAATGCACATTGAAATCTTCTTCTGCCATGTCTTTTGAGGTCAATGAGGGGGTCCTGCAGATGAACTTGGGTGATTTCTCTGCGTTAAGGCGAGTGCTGGAGCCCCGATTGGAGTGCACAGACAACAATGATAACAACGACAGCAGCGGTACCTGGAGGGAAGATGAGCATCTCGCACATGCAGGAATGATGAGTTTCTTTAATGCCCCTCAACGTGCCTCTGTGTGTAGAAATCCGAGATGGATTCAGGACGCGTACGGCGTACGGAAGTCCACGACGGAGGACCCAAACACGACGATGCTTCCGTGCATGAGCGCCATACCGACACTTCTTTTTGCGACCTCCCACGCAAAGATGTACTTTGACGCCATGAATCCCCACCGACTGCGGGTGGTGGTGGTGTGCAGTGAGGGACATGAGTGCATCACGGAGGTCATGCGTCGCCGTGATGCGTTGGTTGCCTTCTACACAGTTGTCGCAGGCCGCCACAATGTAGACATGTTGCCGTCAGCGGAGGAAGCAGGCTACCTCTTAAGTGGGTACAGAAGGCATAAGCGGTGGGGGCCTCTTCTGCGGATGAAAATGTTGGGGATGAAGAGCCCGCGGTGTCATTTGACGCCTCGCACGTCCTCATCGAAGAACTCATCATCGGCACCGTTGTTGTCGGTTGCGGCGGCACCACTCAGCCTGGCAGCGGAGGCCAAGTGCCACAGGGACGCGGCAGCCGACACGGCCGTCACGATAACCTCCACACGTACCGAAAAGAGAGACGGGGCCGAGGGCGATGAGCCTGCGACGGGGCAGGCGTTGAGTCAAAATTCTCCCTCTCATGATCGCCCTGAGGACACGAAACACAAATGTCCGGAACCTCTTCACACCGAAAGGGACGTCAGTGAGTTGCCTGCTGCCGCTGATGATGATGATGGTAACAATGGGGGT